GGATGTTCAACTGACAGCTTAGCGCTGCTGCTGAGGCAGGAGAGGCTCCTGCCACTGCCACTGCCACCGCCACTGCGGTAGCCAGCTGTGAGCCCAGCTTCTGGCTGAGTGGCGCTCCCCCTGTGGGAGCGCACTGACCACCAGGGGGCAGCTCCTGCATTGAGCAGCTTCCCCTGGTGGTCAGTGCGCATCATAATGAGGAACGGTCATTCCTCCTTTCTATTTGCATATTAGCCTTTATTATATAGGATACCATATAACGAGGTATGAGACCTAAGAAGTATTTTATAATGTTTGCTTAATTATGTTAGAGTTCTTATGTAATAATTGAGGGAAGGTTAGGAGTGCTGTTAGTGGCAAGTTGCTTAGAAAATATATGGAATTGTAATATTTCCTAAGATTGCCTGTAGAAACTGGGGCTGTTTCTTGTTTGCTAACTATATGGCCCTAAGTAAGTCTTGCATTGTGATCATCTTGACATCTCTTTCAAACTGTGAAGTGGCTACTAATACCTTAATTGCCTGAAGGACAGTACTATTTTTTGAGGTCCCTTCTAGTTTTAAAAGCAATGATTGTTCTATTTTTTAATTGTTTATAATTAAAATAATAGCCTCACACAGATTGTCAAACTGCAGCGGGAAGGCCGGGGAGGGTTGGGGGGCAGGAGGGAGGGGGTTAAGAGATCAACTGAAGGGCTTGTATGCATGCATATGAGCATAACCAATGGACGTAAGACACTGGGGGGTAGGGGAAGCCGGGGTATTGTCAAGGGCGGGGGGGGGGGGAAAGGACACATATGTAATACCCTTTGTAATGCTTTAAGCAATAAAAAATAAATAAATAAATAAATAAAAATTGTTTATAATTAAAATAATAAATTCTTGAGAATTTTAAAAGCCAGTGTTATATTTCTTTATTCAGTAATGAAACTTTGATGATTAAGTTATGAATAAGCCAGTAGTAAATTCAGAAGTTAATAGTAGTTCTAGCAGTGAGAATTCACGTTCCGTGATGTAAAGAAAATATTTCATAAATTTGAAATCAATTATGCAATATTTTTCTCCCAATTATTATGCTTTATACATGTACTATATTTCACATTAACTAATACAAAACAGTATTTTTTTCCAAATGTAGAGTTTTGGTTACAGAGCAAAAAAAAACTATGTGGTGTTCATTTTTATTTTCCTCTCTTCTAGACATTCCAACTGTTCTGTGCTAGGAGAATTGGTTATACTTTTTATCAGTTTCAATGTCTTAATTCTTTGGAAGTCCCCATTACTTAATTAACATCACTTAGAATTAAAAAACCCTTTCTTTAACTGTCTTTAAGTCACTTAATTGCTTAAGTTGCTTGGGGAAATTATATGAGCTATTTTGGGTCATTTATATTTGGGGAGTGTAGTGTATATAATCTCAAGAAAGTGTTAACCCTCACCATAGATAGTAAAATATTATTGATTACACTCTCATATTTGAAATAAAAACCTGCCTGAGTCAGACTGGATTGTGGGACATAAGGGGGGGGAAAGGGAAAGGAAGAAGATATTTGCTTCTAAAGATATTTAATGACTAAGGTTATGAAAACAAGGAAGAACTGAGTAGAGTGTTACCTTTGTCTTCTGCTTCTAGTGTTGTGCAAAATCAGCAACATGTGATATAATGTATGGAAATCATACTATATATTTTTCTAAAATTTACTCAATTGTACATCAATATTATCTAGTTAATTCCTTACCCATTGTTGACACATGTCTCATATAACACCGTCTTTGAATTTTCTTTCTTTATTCGTTTAGTCTCAAAGCTCTGTCATATTCCATTTTCTTTCACCTTATTTTATCTGAATTACATCAGTGCTAGGTCATCATTTTCTTGAGAATTATTTTATTGATATGTTTTTCTCTGTTGATTATGTGTAAAGGAGGTTTCACAAATGCATATACAAATAGAATTCTCAGTCTTCTTGCTTTATTTTTAGTTTTTCTTATTCTTTTAGACAGTTTGTTTTAAATTTTCTGAATTCTGCTAAAAATAGTTTCTAAAATAAAAGACCCATATTATGGCATTAGAACTTTCCAATTAAAGGAAAAATATTAATTTTGAAAGGTTCAGATTAGTACATTGTTCTGTCCTCTCCTAGGTGAGCATATTTTATGGAGTCTCCAGAATATTGTATTGCCTGTGTTATAAATAGATAAGGTGCTTTTGTTTTTTATTTTGTGCATATACATGCATGTGTCTACAAAAGGAATACTTGTGCAGTTAATGACTTTTGCTTTAATATTTTTTATAGTGTTTAATTCTGGGGATATTTGTCATTGCACGTTAAGACCTCATCTTAAAGGTACATAAAGTATTAACTTAAAAGGTTCTTTTAAAGATTTAGAATATGATGTACTTAATTTCTATTTATTGGTCTGATTCCAGTATAGAAGCAGAGGCACATATCTGAGACAGTCTCAATGTCATTTGGGATTTTTTTTAATTTAATGAATTTAAATGTGCTGATTTTTATCCAGCATAACAACCACTTAGCATTTCTTGGATAACATAAAACTTGAAAACTATATACAGCTCACTACCAGTTTTAAAATGTGTAACCTCAAATCATTCCAAAATATTTTAAGACAAATTTGACAAAGCCTTTATTTTGTGAATAGCATGGAAATCTTTATAGGTTTTAAAGTAATTTTAGAATTAGTTACAGATGATTTAAAGTTTGTTATTTTTTCTTGGGGGCAACATTTTTTAAGTCTGAAAACAGGCAGATTATCATAGTACTGACCACATATCATGCAGTTCTAGTTGTTTCCACTCAAGTTATTATGGACTACTTTATAGCTAGATTTATTATCTAAGTCTCAAGTTAAAAGTTTCTGAATTTAATTTTATTAACTATAATTGGTCAAGACATTTTGAATATTTAAACTCATGAGGGTCTACCTTGTAGTATTCATTAAGTATCACCTTTCATGACACAAATGCATATTTAGATTTCTTTAATATATACATTTATAGTATGATCCTCTTAGTATTGCACTTAAGCTTTGTTGTTGTTGTTGTGTGTATGTGTTTTCTTTTTGTGTGTGTGTACCTGGAAAAATAGCATAATGTAGTATACCAGAGCGTATACTACATTAAAAAATAGCATGTGATCCTGGTTCTAATCTGTGTTGGCATGTTTAACACTATAGTGTTTATCATTGGGAGTGACACGGTGGACAGTGGATTGTGGCTATTTTATTACTTTTATCTTTTATATATTACTAGGGGCCCAATATACCAGTTCGTGCACCTTGAAAGGAACTGGGCCATGAGGCTGCGGTGGGTACAGGGGAAAGTCTCAGCCCATCCTCTGCGGTGTGAGCGGTGGCTCTGGCTGCAGGTGGGAGGGGGCAGCAGGTGCGAACGCCAGGCGGGACTGTGGTGCGTGGGAGCAAAGAATTTTCAGTAACCAAACGAGGCTCGCCCCGATGACGACTAGCACCCTGCCTTGGTCTGGCATCCCCACTCACCTGCTGCACCATCCTGCCATGGCCAATGCCCGCCATGTTCTGTGCTCTGCTGCCTGCTGCTGATACCCCCCTGGTGGTCAGCGCACCTCATAGCTACCGGTTGTTCAGTTGTTCCGCCGTTCAGTCTATTTGCATATTAGCCTTTTATTATATAGGATATTTTCAAAATTATCTTTAGTGAGGTAGTAGTACCTCTCTAATTAGAAAGTAAATAAGTATTTTCATTTGTTTTAAAATAATTGAGCTACTTACTTAAAAAGAAGTCTGTACTGTGCAGTCTATACTGACAGGTAGTGGTAGAATTGCAAAGAAAAAAATGAAAGTTATAAGGAACATATTTTCCATCAAATTGGCATTCCAGTAATAAATATTTATAAATATTTGAAGCTGAGTACACTTTTAAGAATTATTTCACAAAGTACTTTCTCTCTAGCTACAATAAAAAATGGTTTTATCTTACAAATTTATATTAAACTCTGATAAATAAATAAAAGGATATAGTATAGAAAAGGAATTTTGTTCTTAATCCTAAACTTTATGAATGTTTATACTTTTATCAAGTGTATTTTACATAAAAATGACATTATACATGAGAATCACCAAGGAAAGGTACTGAAATGTTTCTTGGGTCTTACCACCAGAGATACTGATTAAATAGATCTGAAGTAGCAACCCAGAATCTGTATTTTAAGTAAGCACTCACATGATTCTGTTCCAGGTGGTCCAGCAGAGCATATTATATTGTTTATTCTTTTCTTTTCTCATTCCACAGCCAGATTTTTTGATCACCTTCAATCACTGCAAAGATTATTGCATTTTTCTAACTTAACACACTCTCTGTGGTCTCTAAAGTATAGTGCGTACATCCCTAGCAGTTGCACAATATAACCCACTAGGATGAGGGAAGACGAAGTTAGAACTTCTATTTATATTTCTATCTCATTTCCTTCATTTCTATTTCTGTATGTTTTATAATGTATGTAATTATTGATGTAATAGTATATTATAATAAATACAAATGTAAACAATTTTAGACGGTAACAATATAGCATGCAAATTGTTTACCACATTACTCTCTGGTATACTACATTATTAATTTTTTAGATATTAACATTTTACCGTTTATTTTCTATTTTTCTTAATGTATTTTTATTGATTTCAGAGAGGAAGAGAGAGAGAGAGAGAGAGAGAGAGAGAGAGAGAGAGAGAGATGAGAGAGAATCATTGATTGGCTGCCTCCTGCATGTCCCAGGCTGGGGATTGAGCCTGCAACGTAGGCATGTGCCCGTGCCCTGACCAAGAATCGAACCGTGACCTCCTGGTTCATAGGTAGATTCTCAACCACTGAGCCATGCTGGTCGGACTACTATATTCTTTTTTAATTATGCCTTATTGAATGTTTTATAATTCAAATTTAGATAATAGACAACTTACTATCTAGTGACAGTTAACAACGTTTATGTATGTGTGCTTCTTTATCAGGTGATGCTTTTCCTTGGACTATTAGCTTGCATCATTTCAGCGTATATACCCTTTTTGGAAAACAAGTGACACTTTGCCTAGTGGATCCTATGGGTTGTACCTCTACTCTAGCCGTGACATCTCAAAAACTACTCGCAACAGCACCTGATGCAAGACATTCATTTGTTGTCTGCCTCCATGTTGACCTAGAGTCGATTGAGATAAAATGCTCAAATCCCCAGGTTGGTACATTTGATTTATGAAAAGAAATGTAAAATAATGTGATTTAAGAACAATTGTTATCCATTTTGTTGCAGAGTTTCTCTTCTATTAAGCATCCTAAATTTATTTTTAACAAGGCCATCAAGATTAGAATGGTTAGATTAAGAATTTCTTTGACGCTCTCTCAAGTTTTGTTATTTAAACTCTTAAAAATGTAATGGTGGCTGCATAAATGCATCTTTTGGCTGATGGAATAAAATCAGTTGCAGATGTAAAGTTTTTAAATACTGATGAACTACTTTACCATCAGACTGGAGGAGTCTGTTGAAGTGATCAAATGTAATTTTCACCCAGATTACCATTCAGAACTTCTTTTGCTCAATATATAATATATTTTTTAAAAAGCACTGTTTACTATTTTTAAAGGTATTTTGTTATTCTCATAACATTAGTTGATATAGGCCAAACATATTGTATTCTACGGTTTTATAATTTGGTTTCTATTTTAATCACCTAGGTTTGTGCAAATTATTAATTGCATAGAATTTAATATTTGTGGGTTTTTTTTTTACCTCAAGCAGACTATAGTATATTTTTGTATAGCTTTTCAGTGTTGAATTCTATTTGGAATATTATTTTTAAATGAATACTTTTTAGAATATTACTAGATCTGATATTGAAAATCTGTTTATCCCAGCATTAGTGGTTTTAAGCCAGTTTTAAAAGTATGTTTTTAAAGTGGGCTCAGCTATAACTCTGTGTTTTATAAAGCCTCCTTTCTAATACCATCCTCTACCCCCATACTGTATATTATACAGTTTGGTTTAATTTTCATTTGTGCATGTTGTAAACATTGGACCTGCTATATATTGGTGATGGCCTTATTAAAATGCAAATAATTGACATTCTATTATGACCCACAGTGATATAGGAGAGAATAATTATGAAATGACTTACTCTTTCATAGATTATTCCCTGAATGCTATTGCTGATATTTGCTTAAAAACATTTCCAAGAGGAAGATAAATTATTATGGATGAATTGTGTCCATCCCAAAAGACATGTTGAATTCCTAACCCCCATTATTTAAGTAGTAGAGGCCCGGTGCACGAAATTCATGCACGGGTACTGTTCCTAGGCCTGGCTGGTGATCAGGGACTATCAGAACCTTCTGGCTGCTGGCCAGGGCCTTCCTTCGTTCCACGCTGCCTCCTGGTGGTCAGCACACATCATAGCGAGCGATCGAACTCCCGAGGGGACACTTTGCATCTTGGTCTTATATATATATAGACCTTATCTGGTAATAGGGTCATTATAGAAATAATCAAGTTAAAATGAGGTCATAGGGTAAGCCCTAATCCAATGTGATTGATTTCCTTATAAAAATGGGAAATTTGGATGAAGACACACACAGGGGAGAGTCAATGTAAAGACACCTGGGGAGAGTGCCATGTGCAAATATTGGATTAATTAAGTTGCAAGCCAAAGAATTCAAGGATTGCTGGCTACCACCAGAAGCAAGGAAGAGAGAAATCAATTCTGCTGTCTCAGAGGGAGGGTGGCCTACTAAACCTTGATTAGGTACTCTTTCCTCCAAAATTATGGAACAAAAAATTCCTGTTGTTTTAAGTTGTGCCCTGCATATGACAGAAGAAAGAATCACTGAACTTGAACATGGAGCATAGAAAATACTGAAGTTGAAAAACATGCAAAAATACAATCAGGTGGAGCCAGAGCCAATAGATTAGTTAAAATGTAATACTGCCCTGCCCAGTGTGACTCAGTTGGTTTAGGCGTTGTCCCGTGCACCAAAAGGTTGCTGGTTCAATTCCCAGTCAAGGCACATGCCCAGGTTTGGGGCTCGATCCCTGATAGGGGACTTGCAGGAGGCAGCTGATCAATGTTGTGCTCTCATTTTTTCTCTCTCTGTGTCTCCTTCTCCCTTCCTCTCTCTCAAAAATTTTTTTTAATCTTTTAAAAATAATAAAATAAAATGAAACACTAAAAAATATTCCAATTTAATGAAGTCAAGAAGTGGTAATAGAGTTACAAAAACAGGATAGAAACAAAAAAAATAATTTGTAGGGGCTGAACCAACTTAATCAATGAACACATTAAATGTTAATGATCTTCACTAGGAGAGTTTACACCAGGAGTTTGCAACTAAGGTCTGCAAGGCCAAGTTGGGGATAACATTTTTTACATATTGTCAAGGCTGCTGTGATGCTACAACTGCCGAAGTAAGTAGCAGGAAAGGATAATATGGCTCACAAGGCCTATAATGTTTACTGTCTGACCCTTTACAGAAAAAGCTGTTGACCCTGATCCAGCTACCCCCATTAAAAGGCAAAGATTTATAGAGGGGGGAGAAAAGCAAGACTACTGCAGAGAGATATTTGAAATACAAAGAAACAATATAAATAAATGCATAGGAAAAAGATACCATTCAAAGAGCATAAAAGTGCTTGACTTGCTTTTTTTATTTTTCCAATGAAATAGACATATAAAAAGAATATTAACAGAGGTTAAGAGGGTATGAAACAAAAAAGGGACAGAATTAATGGAAACATAATATTCAATCAGAGTATGGCATTTTTATACAATTTCTGTCAGTGATTATAAAACAACTGGATGAAAAATAAGTAATTGGAGATATATAAGATATGAAAAAGATATACTACCACAGTCATATTAGGATATTTTTATAACATCTTTCTCAGTATTTTATAAAGCCACTAGATAAAAACAAATAAACAATTGGAGATATAAGAAATATGAAGAATACTAAGAACTCGCCTTCATCTAATTGACATTTACAGAACACCATATCAAACAACTGTGGAATCACTTTTTTTTCAGGTGTACAGTATGGTTTCATTATGCTTATTTAAGAGGATCAAGATTAATATATTATCTAACCATAGTCAAATTATATTAGAAATAATAATAAATTATCTGGACATTAAACAACATGTTTAAAATAATCTATGAATCAAAGACAAAATCACTTGGAAATTAGAAAGTATTTTGATGGAATGACAATGAAAAAGTGAATACAGCTAAAGCAGTGTTTTCAGGAAAGCATAATTTTAAATAATTATATTAGAAAGGAAGAAAGAGCTTAAATCATCCACTTAAGATTTCAGTTTAGGAAGCTAAGAAAATAAGAAGGTAAACCCAAAGTAATTAAAATAATGAAAATAATAAAGAGCAGAAGTGAGTGAAACAGTATAAAGAGTCAATATAAACCACCAATATCAGGAAAGAAGGGGGAGGTTATCACCACTGATTCTATAGACATTAAAAGCATAGTAAGAGACAAAGGGGCAACTCTATGCTGACAAATGCAAAATTTAGGTGAAATAAAATTTTTTATTGAAGAACTGTAGAAAAATGATACAAGAAGAAATAGAAAATCTGAATACCATACCCCTATGTATCTTTTTAAAGCTATTGAATGTGGCCCTAACCACCTAGCTCAGTTGGTTAGAGTGTCATCCCGATACACCAAGGTTGAGGGATTGATCCCCATTCAGGGTACACACAAGAAGCAACTAGTGAATGCATAAATAAGTAGAACAACAAATAGATGTTTCTCTGTCTCTCTCCCTTCCTTCTCTCTAAAAATACATATACATACATACATACATACATACATACAATGGAGAATAATTATATGATAATCTCAATAGATACATGTAAAACATTTGATGAAATTTACCACCTATTTCTGATAAAAAAAACTCAGTAAATTACAAGTATTAGATTACCTTTTCAAACCAATAAAGAACATATATGATAAATCATATATAATACTTAGTTGTAAAATACTGAATTGTTTTCCACTGAGTTCAGGAAAATGCCCTGGATAACTGCTTTTACTGTAACCCTGTTCTGTATCATACTGAACCTCTTAGCCACTGCAATAAACCAAGCAAAAGAAATCAAAGGCATAAAAATAAGAAAAGTAAAACTTTTGCTAGTTGCATATGACAAAATATAGGATGGGATAAAAGTAGGTTTATCGTTGTGAGTCGCGAAAACATTTTATTCTTGTATTATTATTTATTAATTATTGTATTATTTTCTATACAAACAATTGTAAACTTACTTTTGCCCAACACTGTATTTTACAGAAAATCCCAGAGGACTCTAAGAGACTATTACTAGAACTAATAAAAATGTTTATCAGTGTTGGAAGAGACAAGATTTATATATAAAAATCAATTGTAGTTTTTATGTAGCAAACAGTTAGAAAATAGAAGGGATCATTTGCATTTACATTGGTGCCAAGAAACATGAACAAATGAATCTAACAGAGATGTTCAAGATCTCTACCCTGAAAACCACACAGGATTGCTGGAGAGATATGCTGCTGGGTGACTCAAAGATATTGGGCATAATCAAGTTTAAACATTTTCTTGTTGAAAGACATATTAAGATAGCAATAAGCACATGTAGAGAATATAATTGAAACACTTTTATCAAACTGTTGTACAGAATATTTAAAGAATCCTTTTTACTCGATAAGTTGAAACAAATAATAATAATAAATAAAATAAGATGAAGACAATGGGGAAGGTATTTGAACAGACATTCACCATGTAAGGTAGGTAGGTTGAAAAGATGCACAACATGATTATTCATCATGGAAAAAGAAAGCATGAAGACATACCATATGCATCTTTTAGATTGGCTAAAATAAAAAAAGACTGAGTATTGTGAACCAACTTGAACACTTTTACATTTCTACTGCAGGTAGGAATATAAAAATTATAACAACTTTGGAGACAACTTCAAAATTCCTGAAAAACACACACACAAAAAAACCCCCCAACAACATGCACTTACCATTCAACCTAGCCTTTCCTCCCGAAGTAGTTCCACAGAGAAACAAAAATATATGTCCAGAAACTTGTACACAGAGGTATTTAGCAGCTTTGTCTGTGTAGCACAAAAATGAACACAAACCAAATGTTCATCAATAAGTGAATAATTAAAATATGGCCTCTACCTACAA